ATGCCTCCCCATCAGATGGATGTCGCATCATGCCCGGACTTGTTATGTTCGTATGATGCCATGTCATTTGGCTAGCACTATGAATTGATGCAAACATCCTTTGCAACCTAGGTATTATTGGAAGATAGAACATCGACTTCACTGTAACTCGTTTTTTCCTTCGATCAACGCCTTTACTGCGAACTAAATACCTCGGACTCTTACAAAATTTACATTCCTCCAAAGCCCCATCATTTGTGCCAAACTCATTGTCATAGAATAGCATACAACCTCCAATGCAACAATCAATCTTTTTTACTTCTAATCCCAACTTCGACACCATCCTCTTTGCATCATAGTAACTTGTAGGCATGTTTTCTTTCACAGGAGTCGCATCCAACATCATTTTTGCAAAGAACTCCAAACACTGATCTGACACATTCCAATTTGACTTTGCAGCCAAGAGTCTCACACACATTGAGAGCCTAGAGTCAGAAGATCCCTCAAACAATGGTATATTTATCTCTTTCAACAACTGATAAAACTTTTGTGCATTCTCATTCGGAAGCTCTTCCGCATCAAAGTCTTCAGGTTCATCGTAAGCCACATTGACTCCAAATGCGTCACTTACCATATACTCTCTACTAGATTAAATTTCTCCTGGTATTGCATATGTGCTTGACTACTCGAACCATCTATATTTTTGTCTGGTCCAACATGTGTTTGATTGTTATAAGCTTCCCTATTCATCTTTGGCAATTTTTCTCCATTAGATGTCCAAACCCAATAATTTGGCCTAAACCCCACTCTCTCCAAGTGTTGTTTCACTTCACTACAGTCACTGATTATATTTCTACAACCACACATCAAGCATGGACATCTTACCCATTCATCTGTACGACACCATTCGTAAGTAAATACATATGTCAGAAACATATCAAGTCCTTCCTTAAATTGTGGTTTAAGCCCACGTCTTCCCAGAAACATTCTATCATACATCCAACTACAATAGAATTGATAATATTTCATACTGCACATTTATAACATTATTTATGTTTAAATTTATTAGACAAAAGGGAGAGTAAAAATATATCAACAAATTTTTAAGACTTTATCAATAAATATTCTTTAAGTAAGTAATATGCACAGTTTTTATTAATAATACAGTATACTAAATAAGTAAGTATACTATTTTTTTATATAAATTAAATATATTATATTTTATTTAAATTAAATATACTTTTTATATACTAAATAAGTAAGTATACTATTTTTTTAAATAAGTAAGTATACTATTTTTTTATATAAATTAAATATATTATGTTTTATTTATACTAAATATTTAAATTACATATAAACTAAATATACTATTTTTTCTATAAACTAAATATACTAATATTATATAGATTAACTATATATTTAGCATATTTTATATAAATTAAATATACCTTTTTTATATAAACTAAATATATATTGTTTTCCAAAATAACTGAGTAAACTATTTATAAACTAAATATACTTTTTTTTATATAAATTAAATATATTATGTTTTATTTAAACTAAATATTTACTAAATATACTAAGCATTTAAGTTAGATATAAATTAAATATATACTGTTTTTTTTATAAACTAAATATATTATTATTTAGATTAATTAAATATTTATTATATTTTATATAAACTAAATATACTTTTTTAATATAAACTAAATATATAATATTTTTCAAAATAACTAAATATACTATTTATAATCTAAATAAACTGTTTTTTATATAAATTAAATATATGTTTTTATATAAACTGTTTTTATGATATATAATATATAATATATAAACTATTTAATATAATTAAATATATAAACTGTTTTAATATAATTAAATATAATATATATATATATATATATATATATATATATATATATATATATATATATATATATATATATATATATATATATATATATATATATATATATATATATATATATATATATATATATATATATATATATATATATATATATATATATATATATATATATATATATATATATATATATATCAACTAAATCTAATACATATCTAAACCAATTTAATTTACCTAAATATAACATATAATTCAGAAAAAATTTCAATAAAAAAATAAAATAAATTACATACCTTGAAGCTTTATTAAACAAAGATAGTTGGTGGAGGAAAAAAATGAAGGAAAGGAGGAGGATGAGAGTTGCAGAGAAGAAAGAAGCTGAAATTTGGATAGTTTATGAAACAAATGGAAGAGAAAGAGGAAGATATAGAGCGCAAACGGTGCAAAACTTTGCTTGGGGTTAGCCCCTCACTAAGTGTCAAACGGTACCATAATTAGCTTGGGGCTAGCTCCTCGTTAGCTGACAACAAATATTGTTTTCCTGCCACACGCAAGCTGGTTCAGAGATGGTTCAGACGTAGCAGTGATGTAAAAATGGGCTTGGGGATAGCTCCTCGCAAAACTACTTATTTGTTGGCGAGGTGATGGCCCCTCGCAAATATTCAATGGCTATTTTTATTGGCGAGGTGTTACTCCCTCGCTAAATGATTTTTCTTTTTCCCACGTGCCACCCCCTCGCAAATGGCCAACGGATTTATTTTCAAACTCCCTCCTAAAATTTAGCTACGGGGAGCTCCAAATTTTAATTTTTTTTTTGTATATTATTTATCTAGGGGATAACCCCAAGCTAATGTTAAATTTAGTTAGGAGCTTAACCCCTAACTATTTTCTCCAAACTGAATCACATTATTCTTGTAATTTTATATCGACTTATCGTTACTTTATTTTATCTTATATTCGTGTAGATATTTTCAATCAGATTAGAAGTATTATATCATGGTCATAGAGTATTGGACGACAATGGGATACAACTAATGAAAGAAGAGACACGAGTGACAAGTTAGCGTTGGGTTGTGAGAGATGTAAAACTTAATATAAAAAAATGGTAAATCATTGAAAGATCAAAATTTAGATAACTTGACAAAAAAAATGGTAACATGTTGAGAAAAGGTTAAATGTCCATTTAATTTGAGATATGTGTTTAGTGGTGGAGGTTGGTGTGTTAAGTTTAAATGTGATATTCACAATCATAATCTAGTAATAATATTAGTAATAATATTAGACAATCATGATATTCTTAGTTTTGCTTAAATGAAGAAGAAAGAAAATTTGCCAATAACTAAGTATCACATGGCATTGAGTTTCATAATGAGATCATTGAAAGATCAAAATCTAGATAACTTGACAAAATTTATCAAATTCATTATTGTAATATTTTTCCTATCACTTCTCAAAACTTTTATCAAATTCATTAGAGTTGTAATATTTTTCCTATCGCTTCTCAAAACTTTTGTGAAACTACCAATTTATTTTTCAAAAATACTTTAAACTTCTTAAATATTAAAAACACTTTAAATTTTTATCTTATTATATAAACTCATGTCATACGCGTCAAATCATCAAAGAAAAATAGAATAAACAATATATTTGAGATAAAATGTTCACTGAATCACATACATATGTACAAACTAATTCCAACAAATTCTTTAGCTTTCCCCGCTCCTTCCTTAGAAAATGGCTACCAATGGTATTTTTTAAGGTTATGTTTGAGAGTTTGGAGGAGAAGAGATGAGAGGACTTTGAAAAATATGAAAGATTGGATGAAAAGAGTATAAAAATTTTACTTTAAGAAGATTTTGGATGGTTTGTTTTTTTCATAACACCAAAAACATTTTCATTTGAAAAATTCAAAATTTATATTAGAAGAGAGTTTTGGAGAGTTTTAAGGCTTAATCAATTTGTTCAAATATTATTTTTATTGTTATAGTATTTTAAAAATTAAAAATACATTAATAATAAACATTATTTTATAATTCTAAACAAAAAATTTAAAAAAAAATATTAAAATTTTCTTTATATTTAAAAAAAAATTATTATTATTGAAAGTCTTTACTTTTGTTCCCCTCCAAACTCTCGAACATATCCTAAATAAGCATCTTTCATATGTTCCATGTTTCTTTTCAATTGCTTGTAACGCAAACAACTTTTTTTTTTGAGAAATAAAAGTGAGAATATTAGTAATTTAAGTTCCAAAGTCTCTTGTTCCATTAACAACAGTCACCCTCTTATTTAGCCATAAAGCTGAAAATTTTCTCATAAGTAAGAGAATGTGAGAAGCTTCTTTTTTGGTCATTTTTACAATAGTAACATCACTTCTTTTTGAATAAAAATATTATGCACTTTATATCCTCCAATTAAAGATAATAACCATGCTCCAAGAGTTTCCCAATACTAAATTCTCATCTAAATTAAGAACATGAAGCATCTTTATCTCCTGTCATAAGGTTTTTAAACCTAGTGACTAAATACCAAACATTTTTATACTCTTGATTTTTATTTTGACAAGCAAAGAATCAGGTGGCTTCACTATTTTTTGCTTCTGCAAATCATACGTGCTGCCGAAAATCTTTCTGCATGTGCCCAAACCTTTTGTAATTATGACATTTTGGTTTTCCTTTTTTTCAACAATCTTTATCTTTGAGATGTTATTTACATTTTTAACGCGTAGTTAAGTGACAAGTAAAAATAATTTACAAGCTTTTGGCTTCAACCAAAAAAATATTGAATATAAATTATGATATACAAATAATTAAAATGGATAATTTTGTTGAAATAAAATTTGCATGTAGAGAAAATATAGATGGGAAAATTTTTAATCTTATCTATTATATTAAGTTAGTATGAATATGAAAAACAAAAAGAAAAAGGAAAATGATTGAAGCATCCTCAATCAAAATATATGAACCTATCATATATTTTTCCATTAAAGTCTCACCAATACAAAAACAAACCAGACTTTGATGTAATTGTCAAATAATTCCAATAACAACAAACCCTTATAGTTTGTGCTTTCATGATTCAAATGACTCGCCATTCTTTTCATATATTATACTTAAAATATAGTGTCTTAAACTTTTTTTTCCTGCATATCTCTCTACATAACAACCATCATAGAAGCGAAGCACATCAATGCTCCAACCAAACCTACCACAGTTTTGGAAGAGCTGTTGGCGGGAGCTTCAGCATCTGCGGCAGCCTCACCAGCTGCAGGACCAGGAGCCAAAGATGGGCTTGATGCGTCGGCGGAAATTGGGCCTTCAGTTGGGGATTCAGCAAGTGTTGCATCAGAAGGAGTAGGAGCAATCACTTCCTCTGAAGTAGGAGTTTCAGCTCCAGTTGTGGGAGCATCAGCCAGCGGTGCTTGGGAAGCTGGTGCTTTAGCTCCAGCTACCTTGGTCGGCATAGGAGCATTGGCTGATGCCACGGGAGCCTTAGCAGTAGCACTTCCTGCTGGGGCTTTTGCGTTATCAGCTGGGATTTGTGAATCAACTCCTGCAAATGTGATAGGTTTGGCGACTTGGAGTATCGAAATGTTATAAGGCTGGGAGACAACAGTTTTCACGAGCTCAACATCGACGGGAGAATCCTTAACAGCGGAGCCAAAGGCAATCTCGCCCTCACCGATGAGGGCAACCTTAACAAACCCTTGTTGGTCTTGGGCGAAGCCTGAGGCTTGATAAAGGGTGGTCAAGAGTTGACCACTTCCTTGAGCTTCCATGAGCTTCTTCTCATCGAAAAAGTCAAGAACCACATGAGTGCTAAGAATGGCCTTGATAGCCGCTGGGGACTTTCCAGATAATCCACCCATAGCGCCATCATTGAGGGCGAGGATGGTGATGCTGTTGCGAGAGTTTATTTGATCAATAAGCTTGGTTTCGGTTAGGGCTTTAGTGAATGCGGCAAATTCAGGACTTTTGGCTAACAATTTTGCAATATCCAATGCATGAATGGAAGATGAAACTGCAAGGAGAATAGCCAAGCAGAGAAGAGAAGAGCTTTTCAAACCCATCTTTTCACTAGTTTTATTAAATTCTGTTTATTTTTTATTTTTTTTCGGATATTATGTCCGAAACCAAGCCTGAAGAAAAAGATAGAGTTACTTGAGTTTATATATGTTACGTCTTATGCTAAATTAAGACAAAAAGTTATTTAGAGGTTTGTGTTTAAAATCTACATTTTTGTCATTGTGGCCTTTGAACCTTTCAATGCAACTATTTTAGTAAAAGTTGGATGGTTTAGCATGATTTGCATAACTAAAGATGTGGAGGATGAGGATGAGAATGAGTTGTTTTAGGATGGTTATAAAGCCATAAATAGGTGGAGCTATTATAGCTTTTTATATTGATTATTGAAAGTTCATTTATTTTTATTTTACTAGGGTAATAATCACAAGGATAATATTTTCTTTTTAAAAATTTAATTAAAATGTGTTTTTAACCATCGAAACCATCCACCCACACCTCATCCTTTATAACCACATTTAGTCAACTAGAAACCTCCTTTTAAAAAAATCTCACATGGTCACACTTGATTAAAAGATGACTCACTCATTCCTCCTCCAAATCAAATAAAAGTCACAAAATATCACTAAGAAAGAAGCATTTTCATGCCTCGCATGCAAATTGCCCAATGAATATGTAAAGCATCAATTAACAATCTCCAATCAAACAATTTAATCTTATTAGGCACACAAATTACCCACAAAGATACAATCCTCTTTCAAAACAACATTCGAAGATTTCAAGGAATAAATCCAACGAAAGTTATTCTTAACCGAAAATCATCTACATGCCTCCACCAAATCGACTTATCACTCACCCCCTCACCGAAGAAACTCCATCCAAAAGATCCAATAACTCATTCCACTCAAAGGTCACTTCCTCCTCCAAAACACGAACAACATCCCTCAAAATCCAACTCCACATGTTATCCACCCAAACACCCATGTTGGCCACACAAGATAAAGAATAAAAGGAAGAATAAAGAATAAGAGAGCACCAACCGTACACGTTAGGAAAAAGCTTTTTGAAAGACGTAGGATCCAACCAAGGGTGATCCCAAAAATGGATAGATTCCTCATTCCCTAATTTACGAGAGATGCAATTTGAAAGCCAAGGTCGACCGTTGACTTCAACACCACACACTAGATGAACATCCCTCCATGAAAGAAAAGCTTTCTTTAAAAGCCTATCGGGAACAACTCCACAAAGAGCCTCCAACCCTCCACCATACCTAAACTCCAAGAACTTTGACCAAATTGTATCCCTCTCCGACAAGAATCTCCAACCCCACATGCTCATTAAGGAAAGATTAAAGAAATCAATATTCTTCACCCCTAAATCCCCCTCCTTCACAGAACGACAAATCTTCTCTAAAATAACCCAACACACCTTTCAAACCCCCTCACCATTTCCCCACAAAAAGTCCCGTTAAATTTTAATAATCTCATCAAGAATGCATTTAGGCGCTTTGTAGAATGAAAGCATGAAGATTGGAATACTATTAAAAACCTAGTTGAGTAAAGTAACTTTACCTTCCAACGAAATGTGTTTACCACTCCAACCACTCAATCTCTTTTTTAACTTCAAAATCAGAAAAGAGCAAAATTCCTTCTGCCTATGATTGCCTCCTAATGAAATACCAAGGAACATAAATAGGAGCTTCCAAACATGATAACCCAAAAACAAAGAAACCGCGAGGAGAACTTGCTCCTCCAAGTGCACACCAAAGAACTTACTCTTATTCAAGTTGATACACAACCACGACACCAACTCAAAACCACACATAATAGCTTTGATACACCAGAAATTCTCTTTAGAACCATCACAAATAAGAGTCCTGCCATCCGCAAATTGAAGCATCTCAAAATGAATATCATTAGCAACCTCAAAAACATTAACACAACCAAAAGAAACCGCATTTCGCATCATACCTGCAAAGCCTTCCGCAACCAGCAAGAATAAGAAAGGAGAAAGAGGGTCCCTTTGACATAAACCTCTCGAAGCCTCAAATTCCCCCGTAGATAAGACATTGACCGAGATGGAAATAGAGCTAGAAAACATTGTATCATCCATCCAAGATAATCACTTAAGACCAAATCCCATACACGTCATAACATATATAAGGAAACCCCAAGACATACAATCATATGCCTTCTCAAAAATCAAAAAATAGTTTGTTTCATTTTTTTTAAATGTCAATAAAATAAAGCGTTATAATAGTGGTTTTTCACCGTCATAAGCCTATATTTTTATTTTTATTTTATATTATTATGGGTATAAGTCATTACAAATCAGACTTCAGTTCTTATAAATTAGGTCTCTTTTCTTAATAAAAAACCATACTTTAGACTAATGCCCCCCTCCCTCTCTTATTATCATGATTAACAAATAGCAAAGTCTATTAAGGGTATTTGTTCTAGAAAAATCTCTCAAGATGGTAATAAATATTTTCACGTGTCAACCATCTTGTTCATTCTTATAGATCGGATAATGGAAATCTTCTTTTAATATTTCATCTGATTATCTCCAACTTTGTAGGTTTGTGTTAACATGGGTGAAATTTAATAAGGTACGTAATTAGACTTTATCTTTCAGTCTTTCACCTGATTATCTAATATTATGATATTTATGCAATTACAAGAGTGAAATATAATAAAACTAAATTAAAACTTTTTACCCAATAAAGATAAGAAGATAAATAGTTTTATAAAAGGTCAATGATTGATGTTCTCATTATCACAAGATAAGAGACTACTCAAACATAACTCTATAAAAACAACAAAGAAACATACATAAACATGATATGAACGAAAAATAAAAAATATGGGTTATTACTAAGCAAACTAAGGGTTACAAGACAATATACAAGAAAGAAACTAATGAATTGGTATGTACAATTTTTTTTCTAAGGAAAATGTGTATTTCTTATAGAGTCAAAAAATATATAAATCACCACAATTATTAGTTGGTTAAAATAAGTGTAAAAAATAGACGGTTTTAAAATATAAACAAGGAACATGATTGTGTTCACCAACACTGTTAGGTTATGTTGTCGGCTGAATTCTTCAACTTTTATTTTTTTTTTAAAAGAGCAAAAAAGAATTTTATTAGAAATCATTCTAATAGCATGTTGATAAAGGAAACATGGTCGTGTTCACCAACACTACCGTGCCATGTTGTTTTTTATTTTATTTTTCTAATTTCCAGCTTTATTTAGTTTATTTATTTTTATCAATTTTCTTTTAGATTTCATTTTCTCATTATTTTCCTTTGTAAATGTTTCAAATTCACATCTTCCTCGTGATAACTAAATTTAAACTATAACTAGTAACCCCTTCTAAAAAATAAACAGGAGTGTTCAAGGTGTTCAAGTCTTCTTACACATTAAGGCATAAAAAATAGTTATTTTTACATGTATTCAATCTCCTCCATGCTTGAATCATTTTTTATCCTCAAGCAATTTAGAATAAAACAATACATCAAGAAAAAAGAAATCCAAGTAACAATCAAACATTTAAAAATAAGGGACGTTGTTGTACCCCAAAATTTGCCCTCTCATTCTTCAAGGCCTTTCTCACAAGGATTTTCAAGGTTTAAGCTTGCACAAGTGCATTGGGATTTTCCAATACCAAAATTAAAAGGAAACTATCAAAAAGGGAGAAAACAGATAAAAATAACATTTTGACAAATTTGGAGGAAAACAGGTCTCCTTCGATTCAGCACCCTTCGACTGACTCTTGGCTTTCGTCGAATGCAACTTGGTTACATCCTTCGTTTTGAGCAAGAGCCTCCTTCGAATGCAACTTGGGAATACCCTTCGACTCAGAAGCCAGGAACTTCCCTCACGCTAAAAGGCAATGACTCCATTTATGTTTGTTTCGACCCAAGCTTTGATTGGGCAATATGCTTCCTTCGAGCATGAGCTTTCGATTTGGCAATATGTTTTCTTCGATACAAGCTTCGACTAGGCATTAGCTTGTTTCGACCACAAGTTTCGACTGAGGCAAAGGCTTCCTTCGAACAGGTGTGCTTCGATCTCACTCTTGCATTCGACTCAAGACCAAATCTCGTTTGTCAGGCTATGTTGCTTCCAAATCTTTACATAATCAGAGGCTTGTACAAAGATTTTAAACTTTGTCTTTTAGATACTACTATTCTTGGTTAAAGGCTACATACTCTTTATTTTCATAGAGAGTACTTTAGTCGCAAAATCAGCTTCCAACCTGAATTTGGTCTGAGCACAAGCAACGCCAAAGAGCATAAGTTACATCTTCTGCACCCCAACTGCCAAGAGGCCCCCCACATGTACTTTCACGTTACCTATTATTTTATTATTTTGCAAGGCTAGATATTGAAAACATGTCCATTCTTTTTCTCTATAAATAGAGGAATTTTTGCAAAGCTACGGAGGATCTTGGGACCAGAGGAACGAATCCCCCAAATTTTCTCAAAACTCTCAAGTTCATCAGCACTTGAGAAATCACAAAAAAACCCAGAGGATCTTTGGACCAGAGGAACGAATCCCCCAAATTTTCTCAAACACAATAAAACTCTCAAGTTCATTAACACTTGAGAAATCAAAAAACGAAGGATCTTTGGACCAGAGGAATGAATCCCCCAAATTTTCTCAAACACAATAAAACTCTCAAAGTTCATCAACACTTGAGAAATCACAAAAAACCCAGAATCACATTCATCTCCTTCGATTCTGAAGAACACCCCACACATAGAAGTTTGTCCAAACTCAAAGACAACCTTCTGTGACAACTCTTCGAACCAAAAGCAAACCCCTTGTGACTACTCTTCGAATTCCAGAAATGTTCAGGTAGCAGTTCAAGTTCGAATCTCACGCCCATTCAAAGCCTCCATCAAGGTAAGTCACTCTTACCCTTGAACCTTTCATTTCATGGCATAACATGTAAATAATCTTTTCATTCGTTTCAAACATGTATATACCATTGTTCCCTTCGTTTCCACCCTTTTAACATATTTTTCAGAGCTACCCCTT